TATTACATAATCGGTCGGCGTTAATGGAAAAACTGTTCTATAATTATTTTCCTCCTTCGATATGATTTAAATGTGTTTTTTTGTCATGCCCCGTTCGTGACAATTTTTTATCCGATTCAGGTTCAATCGAATTAATATTACGTGTTTAAGCGAAAGGCATGTTTTAATAAAATCAACGAATGATTTAAATGTCAGTTTTCATTGATTCAACCTGTACGCAGCTCATTGAGTTAAATAATAAGGCAAGCGATCGATTTGAATGAGATTAGCCGTACTTTGCACGCCGATTTGTTCCCTTCCCGCTCACGCGTTCATCCAGTTCTCCGGTCGGGCGTGTTATGTGAAATCAGTGATTCGGAGAAAGTGAAGAGTGACATTCTTTCAGCGTATTTCTCGTTTCCGTGTTACTCTGGTCCATTTTTGTTTGTTTTTTTTTATTATACGTATACAATCGGGCAAAAAATTGGACAAAATATCTCGTCGAATTTTTGTTTTCGTTAAATTTTTCAACCTGTTGCGTTGTATTCGTTTTTCTTTCTTTTTACCCTGTATGTACATGCCGATGAGATAATATGCCAGAACGTGTTCTTGTAATATCGAAAGTGAACGTGGTTTTTTTCGTCGCTGTTGCGCTGAAATTGTTTGGAGAGAAAAAAAAGAAAACTGAAAAAGAAGCTGCATAAAAAATGAATATGGTTTACTGCTGAACGGAAAAAAAATTATCGAGTTTTTTTTTACGTATTACGGAAAACGCAGACGTACGCAGATTTTTATATGAAGATTAAATATAAGTACGTGCACACGTATTTGTTTAAGCTTAAAGCGAAATTAATCATAGAGGATGGGACGAAGACTGGAGGAAATCAAGGCCATTTAATCATCGCTTACGGTTCATAAACTTAACAGACGCGTCATTGGGTCGATTTGATTTTACGTAAGACTCGGCTTGCTTTACGTCGTACTTGGTTCGATATCACGATGATAATAATAACATATTTCAAATTCTATAATCACTCTTTATTTTAAATTGATTATGACATTACGGAAAGACCGTAAATTTTTTTTTTAACTTGTCTCACGTGAATATTAATCTTTCTATAGGAATTCCATATTTGACACTTGTTATTAAGTACAAAGTTGTTCTAAACGCGAACGACTTTTTTTCTCTCCGAAGACATTCGAACGCGGGAGAAAGTCGTCCGAGTGGTCACGGCCTATTTAACGATTGCCTGGTTCCTTCAAACAATTCCGATGGTGTTCCGCAGAATTCAAGACAGGGAAAAGTAATGTAACTGTCCTCTTCGTAGTAAATATTCACGTTTCCGAATGTAAGAATACATGGTGTTGCATTCACGAATAGGCGATGAACGTTCGTTTGAACACACGTTTTCTGGTCATGCAAAATTTCATTTTAAAAGAAGATCGATGATCGTTTGTTAAAAAAAAAGAAACATGTACATATTTAGGAGTAATTAGCTCGACACTCGTTTAGCTTTCGCTTTACTACTCTACATCCTCGTTTGTTCGCTTTAAACGTACCTTAATCTCCAGTGCGTTCCACGCGCGGCGGGAGAACGCACGCGCGAAGCCGAGCGTAATATATATATGTATGTGTAACTGGTAGTACACACGAACGTTCGTGACGTCACGCGACGCCCGATAACACTTCTGTTGTCGTCGGCCTGTCGTCGTACGTCGTACGCGTACGCCGCGATTACGCATGACGCACAGTACTGTTCGACGTGAGCCACGGAGCGCATCTCGCGCGCGATACCTACGCTCCGTTTCGTCAACCATTTCGATATATTTCCAAACGTCGACGTGCTACGAGAAATTTGAATTTACACGAGCGAACGTGTAGAACATTTATTCATCGAGTGTCCGGGTGTTTGTATGTACGAATCACGATTAATGAGTTAAGCCTTCTGTGTCGCTCGAGGAAATGTGGAATACATGCCGATGCAACGATAAAATTTTACATTAAGTCGAAAGTGAGTGTGAACGATCGATTTACAATCATGTTCAATCGTGTACCGCTTTTGCTTTTGATGACGTATAAAGATTGCGCGCTCGTGAAGTAAATCTTTTAATGTTCATTTAATCGAACTGCATATTGTCTCTATATTTCTCCTCTGACAAATTTATGCGATACGCGTGTCCAATGAATGTAATTTCTGTAGCTACAAAAGCAATAAAGTGAAACTTCGCCCCGTCAAAGGAACAACGGTGAAAAGTAATTTGTAGCGAAGCTTTTGTTCCAATCACAAATACATTTATCAGCGTTTTATGGAAAGTGCCACGTGTGCTGTTCACCGATTCAAAAAAAAGAAGTTTCAACTTATTAATTGCGACGACCTATTTCTATTAATTCAATAAAACAACCTACTCCTTACGTAAATGGGAAAATCGTCGGATCGCGTCCGTGGATGATACATACTTTTCAATTTGTTTTTCGACGAAGAGAGAACAGAAGCGCGTGCGCGCACGTAAATTGCGTCGATTTGATTTATCGCGAACCGTATGACTCTCTGAGTAACGCGAAACGAAGTGATAATAATTATTGTTGTATACTTAAGAGATGGAAGTACGTTCACTCGGGGAATATATACGCATGTATATAGGTCCAGTTCAATGTTCGCATTTATTTATAAGAGTGTAAAAGTGCCCGGACGATTTCTTTTTAGCCATGCATTCCTTTCAAGGCCTCCGCGCGAACTGCGAGCGGACTCCGTCTTACTCCTATTCACTCTCCATTTTCAACAATCGGTGAAACGTGATCGCTGTCGATTGACAAAACACTAAAAGGAAATTCAAACGCGTATCGTCTGCTGATTTTCAAAGGGGTTGAGTACTATAGTGGGTTGTTTTCGAATGACGCGTTTAAAATGGATCTAATTCCGGCCGAGGTCAAAGCTTCATTTAATTGCCAAACACTGAGCTAGAGTGATGTAAGATCAAATGTAACCGCATCGAGAAATGACGTGGTTTTTTAAAACGACTCTCGCGAGAATTGGACGGTATCCAGTGAAATTGAGGACTAGGAATTGTCGCGCGCTTTTCGAGATCTAGAATTATCTTGATCGAGACTCTCGATAATAGCAAGACGGATATATTAACTGATTCATCGTCCTCCTACGTTTCAGCATGCACTTCTCTCTGTAATTAAACTCGCTTACGTCGTATAAAAATAGTGCCGATGGTCTACGATCGACGGTTACGTTGTTTCAAATAAATGTACCGGATAAAAATGATGAGGGATCCAACAGAGAAGCTGTGCGGGATGCATGCGTACGTGTTTGAGGGAACAGGGCAATCCTTTCGTACGTGTATTACATACTATACTTACACGTGCAAATAAACTTACGGATAGAAGGGAGAGGACGACGCATACGAGAGTCAGCGACTCTAAAGTAGACTTTGCGGGTTAGGTAACGTGTATCTGTGGCGATTTTTTTCCCGTGGAGAAAGTTAACTTAGGCGCACCTCAACCGTAAAAATCTCTCTTTCTCTCTCTCTCTCTCTCTCTTTCTGTAGCATCTTATTCTCCATTATTATTCATCCCTTGCGATTAAGTGTCCATATCGTATGACGAAAGTGGTGCGTCATCATATTGAAAATATTTTAGATTGTCGAAACAAAAGATTGCATATCAGTTTTAAGCTTATCGAAACAATGCAATGGTTTCAATCGATTTTCTCGTTTCCTTCGTGTCAATTTCTGAATTTTCCCAGGCTCATCAAACGTTCTTGTAAAAATTACAATATTCATTTAGCTATTTGAACTCCGACGCATCTGAAAATATCGTTCATTCGACGCGTACACGTACCCACTATAAATAGTGTATTACTCAAACGGTTTCTTTGTCGTTGACGCTTACAGGATCGTTGACATCTCGTTAGTTTGTGTAGAAATTCTACACTAAGCTAGATACGTAGTTCGATCGATGTTATAAACCCCGACTTTACGAGGCGAGTAATTTGTTTCAATTTTGCGAAACGCGACCGTTATGGAGAGCGTATTGTATTCTACTGTAGAAACGATCACGAACGCTTCATTGCTTAAGCCGCAACTATCCATTATGCGATCGTGCAATCTGTACAGAATTCGTTAAAATATCGTAATCGCGTCGAAATTTGCAAGCGAATTAACGTCATGCAATGTACAGTGGTGACTAACCGATACTGTCATCGACTAATCTCTGTCTCTGTTTCACTTTTATGAGTAGAACTTGAATCGCGGGTCGAGATAAAATTGCAGTGTACTACTTACACAGACTTAAATACTTGACCATTGGACATAAGAAATTCCGTATAAATTATGTAGATGCGCGCAATTTTTCTTCGGTGTTATAATTTTAGAATTAAACTCGAATTGAATTAAAAATAGAATTTTCATTATTCCTCGCCGTGTCATCAAGAACGAACTTGCATATGTGCGAATAATGACGATGACTGTGAAGAAAGGTCAAACAGGCGATATTGAAAACTTTCTCAAAGTGAAACGAACATACAACGAATCGTTGCGTTGTACATAAGTAGTTCTTTCCGTTGCTCGATCGAAGATTTCTCGCGCTGGAATTCGCTCGTGTGCCTCTTCCATTGCGTCGCGACGGAAGCGACGAGGGGAGCGTTTCTCGGTGCATTCGGGTCACACCGCGGGCCAGAAAATAATACGAGAATTCGGCCCATTCGCGGTACGTATTACGTACGTCGTAAACACGTAAATTACATGCGCCGCGTACGCGTCCGTACCGCTAGCCTACCTGCCCCCTGTACTCTGCACTCTCTTCTGTTACCGTCCTTTAGTGATACCGTTACAGTTGTATTTTTTCTTTCTATGCTACTCGTCAGATTCGTCTAGATTCGAAGACAATAGTTCTAACGCCCATTATGGGCATCGAAACGTTTACTTCGAATTGTATCAACATTTTTGCTATCTCCGATTTTCACAGATTTGTATGACAACGTGAATTAATAGTTATTTTTTTCATTGTGTTCCAGACGCTAAGATGAGATTGGAAGAAGACCTCGTGATTCGTAGGAGCAGACCAACGATGATTTCCGCAAAGTATCGCGCTAGGGAGGAACGTCGGCGTTTACTTAAAATCTCGGCCGGGAAATTGAGAAGGATCGAGGACCCGGAAGCTAGCCTGTGCAGATCGGTACTCATAAACAACGCTGTCAGGCGGCTACAACGCGAGAACCGGGATGAAAAGACGAGAAACTACGGACTACCGGTGGTCACGTATCTGAACGACTCCACCAAAGAGAACAACGTTTCCAGTAACCTTATTGTAGGAGTAACGGATGACGAGACGTCTTCCCGGAAGAGGTAAGAAGCACGCCTTCTTATAACGACGGATTAAGCTCAACTACGAACATGTTCCGAACTACAAAAGGATCGTAAAAGAAGACTCGCAATTCGGTCGCATGCTAACGCGCGAACAGTGACAGATCTCACTCGCGGTTACTTTACGTTTCGTTTTACATAATGTAGATTACGCAATGGTCGGACTACATAAATGCGATTTCGTAATATCCTCGCGAATGTCATGTAGCTGCGCCTCCTGTTTCACCAGCAGAGGGATTTAAGCGAAATCGAAGCTCTCGCAAGCATTCCTTTGCACGGCCCTCCGAGATAACTTCAGTGTACCGCATTACCAGTTCACAAGATAGCCTTATTAATGATTCCACTAGCAGGCGAAACTAATTAAATACTTGTTTCTCGTTGCAGATTAAACGATGATACCAGAAGCGAAGGAATCGCTCCCAAGAGGCAGAGGCACGACGATCTGGACCTTCAAGATGATGTGTTTAGTGATTTCTACATCGTACCGCCGACCCCACGGCTGCTCTCTCAAATAGACGAGGTCCAGGATTCCGATTCTACGCATCATCATCATCATCTGGTGTATCCCGAAGATCGTTTGGGTTCCATGGACGTTCGGTCGGCGAGCATGATCAGCACTAGCACCGCTCATCCTACTACCAATAACACTAACACCTCCGCGAACAGTTGTTGCAATTCGGTAATGTTTCCCGCTGATCTGGTCGATCCTAGTAGTCCATTAATCGGCGTCACCAGATCGAGCGACGTGAGCATGATGGAAGCATCGGACGTTGTCGATCCCGATAGAATTTGCGATTTTGCGAGATTCGCGGACTCCGCGAAGAGCCTCGAGGAACGCCTAGTCGAGCTGCAGTCGTTAGACGAACACTTCGATTTGGCAAAATTCGAGAGGAACAATAATCAGAGTTGCGGCAGAGCGTTCCACGACATCCAAACCTTCCACAGTTTGGTCCCTGGGTTAGAAACCTAGAAGGGTGCCCCGTGCCTCGAGCACCTTCCTCTCGTCGTGTCCGACTCCAAGGAGGACCATGACCAGGGCGATGACGATGGCGACGATGCGGGTAGACGGCTTCGCGGCACACATAAGGAACCACGGCGAGGATGAACCTGGGCTAGTTGGAGGGTGGGTGAATACTCCAGAGGACAACGCTGTCGATCGCTCTCCGACTGCATCAACGAAACTAGTATCATCGGATCGGTTCGACGACAAACCACGGAGCAGGAACGCGTTTGACTACCGAAAACGTAATAGTAAGAAGAACGAGAGCCAACCAACGTCTTTTCAGCTTGCTTTCAAAGTTCTCACGATCTTTGGTCGTTCGCCTTCGAAGACTGCGGGACAATCTGAATTTCGCGATGTGTTTTTAACGACAAAGAATCTGATCGAGAGTGTGATCTATTTTCATGATGTGCGTGACCAGCGTTCAGGTAACACCGTATAAGACGTTACTAGTTATGTACGAGTGTCGGTACCAAAATGTCCTGAGACACGCATCATGTATGTAATTTGTACATATATACACGGAGTACGGTTTTAAGAGCACTTTAACGATTCTATCATAGACGAATTCGTAGTGAAGACTTTCTCGAGAGTCGAAGAAATAAAAGAGAAAAGAAAATACGCTGAGAGACGAGAAGAGAAATACCGAAGACGAGACACGCGCGTCTGTTGTGTATAAATGCCTTTAGAGTAGCTGTGAATCGATGTATAAATGATATCTGCGCGAACGAGATCGTATGAACTTCGCTATCGTGCGATCATACCACAATGGGCCTTCGATTTTTATTCACGATACCATAGTTCCTTATTTCTCAATTCTTTTTCCGTGGTTTCTTTGTTACGTGCGAGACAGGAAAAAAGCCAAGCCGTTATTGTCTTCAAAATATTATCGCCGTCTGAAGTGGTTTTCTTTTTCTTTTTTTTATTTTTCTACGTGTCAAAAACGAGAATGCAATACGAAGGATGAGAAATCGTCCCTGTTGATTGTATAGAGTATTTCTGTTCTTCGTTAAAAGTGTTCCGTTCCTTTCCTTCGTTTCTTTTACTTTTAACGTTCTTGTTCGAAATTGTTGAGCGTTTGCGTTACATTGCGTGGCATTTTTCTTTACTTCTTTTTCATTCGTTAAAGTTACGTTTCTTTTTATTTCTAACGCTGGAGCTCCCGTTAGCTCGCGACGATTTATGTAAAGTTTCGAGTTTCGTTTTTAACATACGACAATGTACAATATTTGTATACACGCTCTTGTATATAAACGTCGTATCGTTTCAAAGGTATGGAAAAATTCGGTTCGTTAAGACGTGTCGGCACGAATTCCGCTGATGCAACATATAATTTGAACTTTCCATCTTCCCCAAACGCGAAGAGATTCGGAACTGTAAATTAATCTCAAGCATCGAGTATATTGTTTTCTTATCATTATTACTAC